AGCAGAATAATAGGAAGGACCCAGGAGCCGGGCGTGGGAGATACCGTGAATCTGACATGGACTCGAAATCGGTCTCAGACCCCTGCTGAAGTCGAAAGGCCCCCCTCGCTGGCCAAGCACCTGTCTCTAACGGCCATCCGCTGAAAGGAGGAGGAAGGCAGATGGAGCTGGAGGCCAAGCAGCAGCACGCGGCCAGCACCCCACTGGCGCCCTGGGCCTCCGTTCGGGCAGCGACGCCCGCGGCGCTTTGAGGACGGTAAAACGCCTGCGCCAGACTTCGAGGGGAAGGGTTGTGGAGGGGGAGGGAAGAGCCAGGCAGGCAGAGGAGCAGGAGCAGGAAGAGCAGGAGGAGGGGGAGGAGCAGGAGGGGGAGGAGGAGGAGGAGGAGGAGGAGGAGGAGCCCCACACCGACTAACGAAGTCATCGCATTAGCATGCATCAAAACAAAAACAAACAGGTTAGCCTTCGTCCGAGAAATCCGCCTCCTCGCGCTTTCTCCGGTCAAGGACTCGCTGCCCTAACTCCTCAGCGCGGGCGCGAGAGGAGAATCCAAATAGCGCAAGGCCTCGGACGAGGTCGACGCCGACCCGCTCAACAGCTGGGCCGGGTCCAAGAGCTGGCACATCTGCGAGGCCCAGCTTCGATGCCAGGAAGGTGCGCGAGGCGTCGGAGAGCGATGTCGCCGCTCCGACGCGACCGTCCTTGCGGGACGGATGCTTACCACGCAAAATCCAAGCCAATTGCCTCTCGCGGCCATCGGAACGGGACCCCGAGCAATCCGACACGAGAGAGCTCCGTCCCCAGGACCTCCCAGGATGGCCAACAGATCCACAGGTGGTGCAAAACACCAAAGTATCCATCGGAGCTCCGCCTGTGGAGGACACGGGAGCCTCGATGCACGAATGGCCACGGGCCTTCCAGGGCCTGAGAAGGGCCCACGCCTCTTCCCCAGGCGGCGGCGGGGGGGCGGGGGAGGGCAGCGCCTCGCCTTCATCCCTCGCTTCGCCGCCAACTTCCGCGCGCTCCCCTCCCACGACGGACGACCCAGGCTCGACGACCCCAGCCCCCTCATCCTCGCCGCCATCATCGGCGTCGGCAGGAACCTGAAAACTGCCGAGATCGACGTGGCGCAGCCAATCGAGTGGGACATGGTCGAAGACGGCGGCATCAGCAATCATCGCCTCCTGAAGCGCCGAATACCGAGAGACAAGCCGTGCAATCTCATGACATCCGATGATGACAAGGCGACCGCAATAATCACTGCGATACATCTCTGCCCCCTGGCGCGCATACAAGTCAGCCGCACGGTTGCCCAACCACTGAACACGCGTCAGGCGGCCATCGATCACGTCCCTCTCTGTGCAATGGGAAGGGACCTTACAAACGCTGCAATCGTCAAGTTTATCATGCACCTGTGCCCACCAGTGGGCCCTCATGCTGTCCGGCCCTGCGGCCGACCTCGGATCCCTAGCGCAATCCACCGTGCCCGCACAATCAATGTGCAGGCTGGAGCCTGGGCACAGCACAGCATTGAGCACCAGCTGGAGGACGGCGAAGTCCTCGCCGTCTCTCGCAGCCTGGAGGGGTGCCTCCGAAAATGGCACTACCCCCCAGATGTACGACTGGACGACCCCCTCCCCGTCCGTAACCACGACCGCCCATCCCGCCACTCCCAGGGACGGCAGATGGCCCTCGAAGGCCGAGCCGTCGGTGAAAACATGCATGCCAGACCCGATCATCAGTCCATCGGCCGGCCAATTAAAGCGATGCATGTAACATGAGGTGGGGTCGGGGGCCTTGCGCCCGAACCAGGCCGAGGGGTCAGGGAAAACCGCCCTGGAGAACAACTCCTGGGCCCGACCCGAAAGACAAGACACGAACCGCGCCGCCTCCCTGACTTCGCACGGGAGCTCTTCTCTCCTCCAAGACGAGTGAGCGGGGCAAGCAAACCGGCGATGAAACAAGGACCCAGGCTCCCCACAGCGGAGGCATTCAGGGCGGATATCTTCGCACTTCTCGGCGAAACGCTGCTGGCACCAATACCTGTTCGCCAGCAGCCCTCTGAGCACGCGCTGGTGGTGAGTCGTCCAGCCCTCAGACGCTCTGGCAGCCAGAAGGTCCTGGGCAGGGCGGGAGCAGATCGGGCCAGACCATTCACCCACGAACGACGACTGACGACTCTGCTCCTCGGCCACAATCGCATCCCAGCACGCCCGCCGACAAAGCATGGCGAAAAACTCAGGCGAGAAACGAGCCAAAGACCAAGCCACTCCACGGTGGTCCACCAGGCTGTCTCGATCGAGGTCTAGGTCCCATCCTATCCTACGCAGGGTCAGGATGAGGGCGGCAATTGGCTGCTTCACCGCACTCCATGGCCTCTTTGTCCCGAGAATCTCACGGGCGTCTTCCGCCGCAGAGGCGAACACGGGCCGGGAGACCGACCGGTGCCACCAGACCGATACGAATGTTTTTACCGCGGCGACGGTGAGATGTACAAGAGGGTCGCTCGTCCACGACGAGCTGAAGAGCAGCGAGAAGCCGAGAGATGAGCCAGGCTGGAGCGGCCCATGGCTACGAGCTGCTGCAACTCGAAGCCCTCGCAAAGCCGAGTTGCTGACCCCCAAGACGGGCGCTCCCCAGCATGCTTTGGCCGCGGGGCCCGCCCTGAAGACGCGGAACGCGTTCTTGCCTCGGCCTAAATTCCGAAGCCGGCTCGCTGATGCCAGAGCCTCCGAAAAACGCGCTGACTGAATCGGGATCCTGCGCCGAGAGCCGTCCAACGAGTCCCCCCCAAGGTCCCGATGGGTCTCGGACAACAGTGAAACGTCTAGCGGCCACTCGGGGTCATTAAGCAAGAGGTCGAGCAGCGCGTTGTCCGAGACCATAAAACAAGTTTTGGACGTATTGACTGGCAGCTCTAGCTGCTGCATGGCTGCTAAGACCAAGTTGACGGCTTTGACTAGTTGCGCTGCGACCGTTCGTACGCCCCCTACTGCGTGCAACTTAACATCATCAACGAGATTGATGGGGCGACATACTGGCGTCTCCAACGCCACAGCTTTCAAAACGCAGAGGGTGAGCAATTTCACAACCCCCGTCGCACAAGAACATCCTGCAACTACGGTTCCATTTGGCACAATAGCACGCGACGTTGCCGACATCCATCGTACTCGGCGAGGCCCGCGGTAGAGCGCGCAAAGCGACCGGAGCAGGCCGAGATCAAACGAGTAATGAACTGCTGCCTGCTTCATGGCCATGTGCGACACATTTTCGTAAAAACGAGACAAATCAAAAAAGACAGAGCCACTCACCATGCCGTGCCGACGCGCATGCACCACAAGGAGGTTGTGCACGTACGCCGCCCGATCCGCCGCCGTGTCGCCGGATTTGCCCCAGAAGAAGGCTTCGTCCACGCTGATCTCCCAGCGGCGAACCTCCCTCTGCCTGATCCTCGACCACACCCGGCCCCACATGCACAGGAGGCCGATGGGGCGCCGCCCCAACTGGGGCGGCGGCTTCGGCAAGAAGACCATGATCGTGAGCCACAGGTCGACCATGACGGGGGACTGCTCCCAGCGGTTCAAGATGGCCACGAAGCGCTCCAGCAGCGCCTCGCTGAGGAGGAGGAGCGACCGAGGGTGGAAGTTGTCCCAGCCGAGCCCCGTCTGCAGCGGGAAACGCCGAGCCACGTCCCTCACCTGATCCGTGGTGATCGGCGGGAGGCTTGCGTGGACTTGCCACTGGCTCGCCGCCTCCTCCGACTCTCTGGACGGTTTGATCCACAAGTTGAGCCACTCGTTTAAGATGGCCTCCGCCGCCGCCGAGCCGACTTGCGGCAAATGTCGAGGGTCGCCGGGCTCCTCAACCGCCTGCGATTCGCCGCGCTTCTGCTTGATGAGGCGATGGGCCACTCGGCCAGGGCCGTCCAATGACTCCGCGCAGAATGCGCGCCAATCTTTGGCCCGCTGCGCTGCGTCAGCCCTGCGCCGCTGTCCAACTTCATCATCAAGCAGCCCGTCGAACCAGTTGGCCAGCGGGCTGTCCCGGCTGGCCAGCCCAAGCCATTGCAAGCGGGTGCCGCGGACCAAGGCTGGTGCCTCGGAGATCGCCGGCGGCAGCTCGAGCGCCGAGGCCTGCTCGACCAGCCGGTCGTGCAGCACCTGCCGGCGGGCACGAGACCCGGGCTTCGCTTGACCCCAGCGCCGCAACGCCCGCCAGCAGCGTTGAAAGCCGGCCCAGGCCTCGGTGCCCGAGGTGTCGAGCTTCCTCTGCCTGGCCACGTGCAGCTCGCTGAACGGCCGCTGCACCATCTTGATGCCTCTGCCGCGGCCCAAGTAGTGACGTATGCTGGCAGAGTCGACTTCCAGCTTCTTCACCAAATGCCGCTCGGCCAAATCGAACCACCTGCTGCACGCCATACCTAGGTCGAGCAGCGGCTCCGCTAGCTCGGCCGTCTCGGCCTCAAGAGACTCAGCCGGCGCCTGCAGCTTCAGGAAGGCCTCCCTCGTCTTGGGCAGGCAAAACGCCCTCCGAGGGTCCTCGACCCACACCATGGGGGCCGTCCAGAAGTTCTGCAAGCGCATCAAAACGCAGCTGTGTGTCCCCACTGGCGTGTCGAAGCAGGCAGCTGGCTCCTCGGCCCTGTGCGAGAGGAAAGACGAGGCCACGAAGTAGTCGTACTCCGAAGCCCCGCACGTGGGCGAATCTGAGGCCAGCAGCACTCCGCCAATTTGGTTCACCCACCTGGATGCCAAGAGGACCTCCGGCTCCACATTCCAGTCGGCACCGATCAGGAACGGCTCGCTGAACTGCCCGACGAGGCCACTCACGTACTCCAAGATGTCCATGTTCTCCCCCGCCAGGCCGATGGACGTGACGAGGTAGAGGGACAGCAGGAGCAAGGTAGCGCCGTTACCAAGGTGCGCTCGCCTCACAATCACCCGATGGGCCCAGACGTCGTCAATCGCAACGGCTTGGCCCAATGCGATTGAATTGGCCACCGCAATGCCGACTCCGCCTGAGACCGCCATGCGGCCAGCCCCAGTGCGCTGAACAGGCCCCTGGGCGAGCTGCATACCCTGCCTGGCGCACCATTGGTGAGCGGAGCCGACGGCCTCCGCGTCGAAAAACCTGGTCTCCTGGACGAACAGGATGTCGGGCCGCCTCCCTCTGGCCTGCAGCCATTCCCCCACCGCCCTGGCCCCCGCCCAAGTGTCGCCATTGACTGTGCCGACGGTCAGGGCGTCCAACGACAGGGGCCGAGTAGCTGGCACCAACGAGTCCAGCTCCAGCAGCAACGGGGCCGCCGAAGCGGCGCTTCCATCCAGCTGCGATGGGGGAGCGGGGACCGACGCCTCGACCGCCACCGCTCCGGGGGCCGCAGGCGCCGCCGCAGACACAGCCCGCGCCCTGGCGGGCGCCTCTGCGCGCCCGGGCCCAGGCCCAGCGCCCGGCAGCACGCCGGCTCTCGGTGACCCTGGAGGCCCCTCGGCAGCGCCGAGAAGGTCACCGGCCGCGGCGCCGCCTCCGGGGGCGCCTGCACAGGGCTCGGCGGGGCGCCGCGCGGCCGCGGCAGCGCCAGCAGCGGCTTCGGCAGCGCCCCTGGCGGGCTCGCACGGCGCCGGCAGCGCCCCCGGCGGGCTGGCAGGGGCGGCGCGGCGCCTGCCCTGGCCTTCCGCTGCTGGGCGGGCATGGCGCCTTGCGCGACGGGCCATGCGTGCCTCAGAAAAAGTGAGGGTTAAAACTGAGGACGACGGCGCCCCCCTAGGGCGCTCCGGCTCGCTGGGGAGGCCGCCAGAGCCGCCGGGCAGCACTGCCAAGGCCGCCCGGCGGGCCGCTTCCGGCGGGGCTGCCGGGCAAGCCGCCGCCGAGCACCAGGAGCCGCGCAGCCACACCCAGCTGACATCGGGGCTCCGATCGAGCCCGACCACCTGCAGGTCAGAGCGGCGCACGAAGTAGACAAACGGCGACGACGCGGCAGAGCCCATCAGACTGCGCGCCATCTGATCTGGTGCACCGTCAACTGCTGGGAAGGTGCTCGCAGCCGCTGGGCTGCTGCCGAGAATCGGAAAGACCGTAGCCATCATGACGACGAGGCGCATCAAGCTAGAAAGGAGCGGCACCCGCAGGCCCCTTACCAGCTCCCTTGGACATGGTCGTAACCGCAGCGGCCCTGAACCTCTCAAAGGCCAGCTGCACGCCCTCGTCGGACTCGGGGACCTGGACCCCAGCCTCGGCGAGCCGCTGCCGCATCTCGCCGACGTCAGACCAGATGGCCGGGGCAGCAGGGACTGGCGGCGGGCCGGCAGCCGCCGAGCCTGCCCCTCCGCCGCCGCCCCCAGGGGCGCTGCTGGGCACCAGCTGCACCATCCGCTGGGCCGTGCACTGGGGCAGCTGCTGCGCCAGACTCTGCACCATGGATGTCTGGTCAGGCACCTGGACGCCGAGCCCGTCAAGCACCGCCGCAAGCTTGTCCGTGTCAAGCTGAAGGACGGGGACTGCCTGGGGAGGCGTCGGGCACTCATCCATTGACGCGGGCTGCGGCGACGCGGCCACCAGCAGCACCTGCTGACGCCGGAAGTCCGCCAACTCGGCCTCCTGCTGCACGATGGCAGCCTTCTCCTTCTGGATGGCCGCCTGCATCTCCACGACCTTCCGCTGCGAGGCTTCGAGAGAATCGCGGCTTTTCTGAAGGCCTCGCTCGGCCCCCTCAATCTGGCGAAGGAGGATGCGCATCTGCTGGCTCTGAGGCCTGGCCGCCAGCAGCTCCTGTTGCAGCTGCGATTGCTCAGTCGCCAGCTGTTTGGCCAGGCTCTCCCACGCGGCCCCCGAGAAGCTCCTGGCGGCAGCCAGTTCCTTCTCGACCTCGGCGAGGCGGACCCGAGTGGCCCGCAAGTCGGGCGCCCCCTCGCCGTCCGCGTCGATGATGACGGTGTCCGGCGGCTTGCGGGCCTGCTTGAGCTGCTCTTGCAGCTGCTTGACCTGGGCCGAGAGCTTCTGCACCTCGGCCGACGACCACGGCGGCTCGGAACCCTTGCCCGAACCAGTCCGCTGACGCGTGGACGTCGACGGCTCCTTGAGCGCCACGTAGCCGTTGAAGCACTGGCCCTTCGAGCGCTTGCACTGGTGGCACTGCTTGTTCTCGGCGAAGTTGAGGAATGGCTTCCCAGTGCGCTCGTGCACGCAGTGCTTGCAGAACCACTTGCGCTGGTGCACGGGCGGCGGCGGCGCCATCGGCGAGTATGCTCCTGCAGGAGCTCACCGCCTCCGCGCGCTGGCACGGAGGTCCAGACCTGGGGAGGACCAGGCCGAGGTGACGAGACTGGCCGCGGACTAGCGGTATCCTTGCTGCCTGGAGGCTGAACAGCCCCCCAAGAAAACATCTTGAGCCAAAATGGCTACGGAAGAGGAGGAGGAGGAGGAGGAGGAGGAGGAGGAGGGGCAGGGGAGGAGGAGCAGCATCAAAGGAGGACGCGCAGGAGTAGGAGCAGGAGGAGGAGCTACAGCAGGACGGGGAACAGGAGAAGGAGGAGGAGGAGGAGGAGGTGATGGGGGAGGGCAGGGGGGGAGAGGAGGAGCAGGAGGATGACTAGCAGGAGGAGGAGGAGCAGGAGGAGCAGCAGCAGTACCAGCACCAGCAGCAGGAGGTGCAGGAGGACCAGGGGACGCAGGCCGTTGCGCCCCCTGCAAGGCGGGGTGCCGAGCAGGGGGTCCACTGTCAGAAGCCGTAGGCGACGGCCCGCTACCGCGGGAGGCCTACATAATATGGAGGCCGTGTTGACGAAGACGAACACGGCGGGCCCCGCCAGCCTGCACACCAACCGAGCTTCCGTGAGAGGCTCACGCGTGGTGCCAGCCGGCGGGGAAGGGCCTACCTGGGACCACCCACAGCGCACCTGGGGCATGCAAGCAGCGGCCCAACCATCGGTGACTGTGGGGCCCAAGCAGGCCGGCCTCTCAGGGGCTCCGTCGCGAAGACGAGGAAGCACCACGCTGCGCTCCAGCGCCGGCCGCGGGCGCAGGGCCGCTGGCGAGCTTGCGGAGCGCCTCGATTGAGAGGGCGTCGACGTCGCGCTGCTGGCAGAAACGCTTCTGGAGGCACACGGCACCCAGGGCCGCCCTCTCCTCGTCGTCATTCAGCGCAGCAGCGGGTGCGCCACGGCCAGCTCCAGCCTCCGCAGGCGGCGCGCCGCCAGCTCCAGCCGAGCCGCCCACAGCAGCACGCCCCCGAGCACGACGTGGCTTGCGCGCAGGCGCTGCCTCGTCGGCCCAGTCGTCGTCGATCTCGATGTCGTCGCCGTTGCCGTTGACGCCATCGTCAACGGGGGCCGCCGCAGCTTCGGCAGGGGCAGCGGGTCCAGGGCCGACGAGCGCCACCAGCGCGCCAGCCTGCTCCGCCGCCTCGTCCATCGCCGCCGCCTCCCCCTTCTCCAGTGCGCGCCGCCCCGCCAGCCGCTGACGGCGCCTGCGGCGCCGCTCGCGCTGGGCCTCCGTGGAGGGCCGCTTGCGCGCAGCAGCAGCAGGCTCGCCAGGGCGCGCATCGTCGCCAGCAGTGCCAGGCTCGCGCGTCGTCGGCCCAGCCGCAAAGGCTGCCGCCGAGACCGCGGAGCGGGCAACCGCCGCGACGGTGCGGCGCGGTGCGCCAGCTTCCACGGCCCCGCGGACGGCCGCAGCCACGAGAGCCGCCAGGTCCGCCGAGGCCGAGGGAGCCCCTCTAGGCTGCGCCATCCCTCGGACCCGCGGAGGAGGAGGAGGGAGGCGCGGCCGTGCGATCGCTTGAGCCAAAATGCAGGAGGACCAGGGGAAGGAGGGGGAGGAGCAGGAGGAGGAAGCGCAGGAGGAGGAGGAGGAGGAGGACGACGACGACGACGACGACGACGACGACAACGCAGAGGAGGAGGCACCCCCACCCCCATCCCCCTCCGCCTCGTGCCTATTCCTCCTCCTCCTCCTCCTCCGCCTTATCCTCCGCCCTCTCCTCCTCGTCCTCCTCCTCATCCTCCTCCTCGTCAACCTCGTCCTCCTCCTCCTCCTCCTCCTCCTCCTCCTCCTCGTCCTCCTCCTCCTCCTCCTCCTCCTCCTCCTCCTCCTCCTCCTCCTCCTCCTCCTCCTCTTCTTCTTATTATTATTCTTATGATTAGTATTCTTCTTATTAGTATTATTATTATTGCTATGTTTCGTTTTCTTCTTATTATTATTCTTATTCGTCTTCCTCTTCGTCCTCCTCTTCCTCCTCCTCATCCTCCTCCTCATCCTCATCATCATCATCGTTCCCCTCATTCTTGTCCTCGTCCTCCTTTCTCCTTCCCGTCCTTTGAGTTTTGTGACAGGTGTTTGGTTCGGTCGCGGGACGTCGAGGCGCAATGAGCAGTGTCGAGACCGCCCCTGGCCACCGCAAAAGCCCCAGGCCTCTCTCGTGACCCGAATCGGCCGTGTCGGGGTGTTCGGGGCTCCTCGCTGGCGCCGCTTCAGCCGTCAGGGTGCCCTCTGGTGCCTTCATGGGGCACGGTTAGGAGACTCTGGAGCCGCAGCGGGGCAGTCTTGGGGACCCCTAGGACGAGCTTACACCGTCGAGAAACAGAACAGGCTGGGTGGCCAGAAACCCCGGAGAAACGATGGGAAAAGCTAAGATCTGAGCCTCTGGGTGCCCTTGTGGGAAGCCTCTAGGATGCCTCTTTTGCTGGCGAGGTGGCCTGGAGAGCCGTCATAGGGGCGATCGTCCGCGTCGCGCAGGCCTGGAAGCGACTCTGGCGGCTCGCGGAGCCTACTTGGGGGCGCTGGCCCTCCCACGCGGAGCCGTCTTGGATCACAGCTGGGAGCCCCAGGGGCCCGAACCACATCGGTCTGGGCGTCCTCTTGGGCTGCCGTGCAGCGTGGGGATGCAGAACAAGCTGGATGAGTGAAAACGGGGAAAACAATTGGAAAAAACCAGGCGCAAGGCCTCCGAGAGCCCTCCGGGGAGGCCTCTTGGAAGCATGCGGAATCGATGAAGTCGTTGGGGGGGCTGTCTTGGGGTGATCGTCGGCGTCGCAAGAATCTTGGAGCGTCCGTGGCCGCTGTGACCCTACTGGGGCGCGCCGATCCTCACATGCGGAGCCATCTGGGGACAAAGGTGGGAGACTTTGGGGCCGAACCGGGACAGTCTGGGCGTCCTCTGGGGCTGCCGCGCAGCGTGGGCATGCAGAACAAGTTGCATGGAGGAAAACGTGGAAAAACACGCTGGGGAAACAAAATGTTTGAGTTTTAGGGGAGCTCCCCTGCAGGCCCATGGGAGGCCTGTGGGAAGTCTCTGGCACCAGGCGGGAGCAGCCTCTGGAGCTCCCTGCAAACTCTTGGGCCTCTGTTGGCTCCGGGCCGCCGAAGCCCTGTATATATATATATATACACATACATTCATTCATTCATTCATTCATTCATTCATTCATTCATTCATACATACATACATACATACATACATACATACATACATACAAAAATACACAGATATATAAGCGAAGGGAAGAAGAAGATGAAAAACAACAAAACGTTCCTCCCATGCGGAGCCATCTGGGGACAAGGTTGGGAGACTCTGGGGCCGAACCGGGACGGTCTGGGCGTCCACTGGGGCTGCCGTGCAGCGCGGGGATGCAGAATAGGCTGCGTGGAGAAAAACGTTGAAAAAAACGATAGGGGAAACAAAGTGTTTGAGTTTGAGGGGGCTCTCCTGGTGGCCTATAGGAGGCCTGTGGGGGACCTAGGGCACCAGGCGGGAGCAGCCTCTGGAGCTCATTGCAACCTCTTGGGGCTCTGTTGGCTCCGGGTCGCCGAAGCCCGGGAACAAAAAGAAAAAAGCACAAAAAAAGGGCGCGCCGATCCTCCCATGCGGAGCCATCTGGGGACAAGGTTGGGAGACTCTGGGGCCGAACCAGGACGGTCTGGGCGTCCACTGGGGCTGCCGTGCAACGTGGGGATGCAGAACAGGCTGCATGGAGAAAAACATAGAAAAAAACGATTTGGAAACAAAGTGTTTGAGTTTCGGGGAGCTCTCCTGGAGGCCTATGGGAGGCCTGGTGGAGACCTAGGGCACCAGGCGGGAATAGCCTCTGGAGTTCCCTGCAACCTCTTGGGGCTTTGTTGGTTCCAGGTCGCCGAAACCTTGCAAAAAAATAGAAAGTGCGCGCCGATCCTCCCATGCGGAGCCATCTGGGGACAAGGGTGGGAGCCTCTGGGGCCGAACCGTGACGGTCTGGGCGTCCTCTGGGGCTGCCGTGCAGCGTGGGGATGCAGAACAGGCTGCATGGAGAAAAACGTAGAGAACCCTATGGGAAAGCCAAGTGTTTGAGTTCTGGGGAGCTCTCCTGGAGGCCTCTGGGAGGCCTGTAGGAGACCTGAGGCACCAGGCGGGAGTAGCCCCTTGAGCTCCCCGCAGCCTCTTGGGGCTCTGTTGGCTCCGGGTCGCCGAAACCTTGTAAGAAAACAAAAGGAAAGTAAGGCCCTGGGCCCCACATGCGCCGCCGAGGTCCCTGGGCGGGACCACCCTGGCCACGTCCCCTGGGATATCTATATAACTAGAGATATATATATATATATATATATACACGACCACCCTTCGGGTGATAAGGAGGTTCGGGGGGGGAGGATGCAGCGTCTCACTCAATCGGTCTCACTATCCATCTCACTATCGGTCTCGCTCGATCGATTTCACTCGATCGATCTCACAATCGATCTCACTCGATCTATCTCATTCGCTCGGTCTCACAATTGATCTGATTATCGATCTCACAATCGATCCCACATTCGGTCTCACTATCGATCTCACTACCGATACAATAATCGACCTTACATTCAACGTCATCGTCATCATCATCAACAACACCACCATCTCCATCGTCATCGGGACACTGTCATCTTCACATCAGCATCGTCGCCATCATCATCAACGCCATCATCATCAGGCCATTAACATCAACGCCATAATCATCTCATCATAGTCATCATCATCATCGGGACACAGCCATCGTCATCATCACCATCAACATCATCATCATCATCGGGACACCATCAAGGTCACCATCATTTTCATCGTCAACATAATCAACAATAACATCGGGACACCATCATCATCATCAGCTCATTATCATCATCAACATTATCAGCAGCATCCTCATCACCAACATCATCATCAATATCATCATCGGCACACCATCACCATCACCATCATCATCACCACCGTCATAGTCATCATCATCATCGGGAGACCATAATCATCATCAGCAGCACCATCATGACCAACATCATCATTAACAACCACGGGCAGAAGCATCATCATCATCATCGTCATCTCATCATCATCATCAACAACATCAACATAATCATCATCACCAGGACACCATCATCGTCATCATCATCGTCATCAACATAACCATCATGATCATCATCAACAACATCATTATCGGGACACCGACGGGACACCGACGGAACACTGGCGGGACACCGCGGGCCCCCGGCCGCCCGGAAGGGAGTCATTTGGTCCGGCCGCGCCTCAGCCACACGGGACACCGACGGGTCACCGGCGGGACACCGCGGGCCCCCGGCCGCCCGGAAGGGAGTCATTTGGTCCGGCCGCGCCTCAGGCACAGGAGATTCTCTCGCCCGCCCACGCAGCTTCGCCTCGCCCGCACGCACGGCACGCACGAACACGAAACCGAAATCGATTTCCCGGTAGGGGGGCTCTCCGTTCCACTTCGATCTCACCCCCTCACCTCCGACATATATATATATATATATATATATATATATGCTTGCAAATGGTGATATTCTCCCTGGTTTTCACCTCTCCTCCTTCATCGTCCGCTTCCCCCCCCTTCGTTCTACTGACTGTATTCCCTCTCTTGATCCTCCTCCTCCCCCTCACCGTACTGACCCTCCTCATCCTACCCACGACCTGGTCCCCCCTTTTCTGTCCCATCTTCACCCTGCGCTGCCTCAATCTTGCTCCTCTGCCCTGCGCGGTTTTCCTGATGGCGTGTGCCGCTTAACCCCCCAGCAGAAACGGCTGCCACGTGAGCCAGGGGCCTTGCGGTCAACCGTCCGATTCCCATTTCACAAACTTCCAAGCGTCGGAACATGATATGCGCGGGCGTATCTTGTTACAAGGGCGCCTAACGTCGCGTTTCGCGCCGCGCGAAGCGAGAAGCGCGACCAACTTCGCGCTCTCGCGCCGTCCCCCGCGGGAGAAAAGGAGGACGAGAAGGAATCGGAGCCCAACCCCGAAGCGCGAAGCGCAAACAACTTCGCGCCCGCGAGGGCGCCGTTGTTTTTGGTGCTCCTTCCGCTTGAGGTGTGCTTTTCGGTCTGGAGCGCATGCCAAGACGCAGTGCCCCCTCGCCTTGCCACCCCCCCCGTCCCCCTCCTCCGTCTCATCCGTCCTCACACGCCACCTCGACCAGCCTTCCTCCCGCCATGATTGACTTCCCTGTCGTATCCCTCCTCCGGAGCCTCTGCATCCTCCTCCTCTTCCTCCTCCTCCTCCTCATCATCATCCTCTTCGCTCGCTGGAGCGCTCTGTGCAAAAATCCTCCTCCTCCTCCTTCTCCTGATCCTCCCCTCCTCTTCCTCCTCCTCCTCCTCCTCCTCTTCCTCCTCTTCCTCCTTATCCTGGTCATCAGAATCATCACCACCACCATCATCATCACCATCACCATCACCACAAACACCACCATCATTTTGACCATCACCATCACCATCACCGCCACAAACCTCATCATCAGAAGCAGCAGCATCATCATCACCATCACCACTAGCATTAGCAGCATTAGCATCATCATCAGCAGCAGCAGCACCATCCGCATCGACAGCATCACCATCACCAACATCAACAGCACCATCAGCACCAGCATCATCATCACCATCAGCATCAGAACCATCATCATCACCAGAATCATCAGCAGCAGCATCATCCTTATCAACATCGTCGTCGCCATCGTCATCCTCACCCTCATCACCACTTATAGCACATTAATCAAATCATCGTCCTCAATCTCATCCTCCCTCCCTCAACTCTCAGCCCTGCTCCCTCCCCCATCCGCCTCCTAGGCCCGAGCCGTAGCCGCAGCCGCGTTGCTCCGCTTATCGCGCACGCTCAAAGCTCGGGCCCAACGTGCTCCTCGCGAGGGCGAGGAGCCGCGCCGCCATGCACTGGACGCGAAGCGGCGGCGTTCCGCCTGTGCCTCCGCCGGCGCCGCATTGGCCTGCTCCGCCTGCGGCCGGCGCCGCCGCAGCCCACAGGTGGGTGGATGGGGGCTTCGCCTCCTCTGCTCTTCCTCTCGTGCTGCCACCTCTGCCACTGGAGATGAGCAGCTGCCTTGTGCTCAGAGACGGACCTGCTGCTTCGTCGCCGGCTGCGTCACTGCCGTCGGGACCACCAGAGGAGGCTGAGGGACCACCAACCCGAGCTGACGCGTCGCCCGCTCCGTCGCCTGCCGTCGCTGCTGAACCGGAGGCGGCCGACCTCGGACTCTGGCAAGGCCTCTGATGCCCGCGAGGTGCATAGGGTTGTTGAAGGAGACGTCCCCCTGCCTGCCTCAATGGGACGCCCCCGTGCGACTCAGCCTGCGAACCCCCGCTTTCCCGGAGGGGCTGTCACCAGGCGCCGCGCTACTAATGCTCTCTCGGCTGACAGCTCAGACAGCAGGCAGGTCAGAGCTGACGGTCAGCTTCGCCCGTGCTGTTGTCCTCGGCCTCCCTCTGCGCCTGCCTCCATGGGCCGCCCCCAGTCGCGTTCCAGGTCCCCTCGTTTCTTGCGGCTCATGAGTGCTGCCGACGTCCGCGCCCTCAAAGCTGGCACAGCCAATTCGGAGCAACACCAGCCCGACACAGAGCAAGAGCCGCTAGAGCAGGAGCAAGTTGGCATGCGGACAGTGTTGTCCGATAGCCACGCTGATGCACAGCCCAGACGTGTTGCTGCTGAGCGCGCTGAGCGCGCTGTCCCATCCTCATTGCTGTCAGAGAAACCCGTTGCAAAGGAGATGGCTCATCAAGATCTGCGTGACGGAGACATCAATGCATATTTACCGGCATGACTGGCTGGACTCTCATGCGTGAATGCCGCTCATGCGAGAATGCCGTCCAGTATGGCGCGTTGCCAGAGCATGAGAGGCCTCCATTGCCCGTGCGCGATGCTTCCCACGCACCTGCTAAGCGACCACAGCGGAATGCGGGCGAGGGTTTCGGAGCTCCGCATCCTCCGGTTTGCAATCGTGCAGGAAGAAGTGTTGGCCCGTGACGCGAGCTAACAGTGGGGCCTTGCATTGTATCAGATTCATGCCCAAGAGGCAGCCAGCGTGCTAGTTCTGCGGACACATCACACAAGATGGACGCTGGCGCAGTACCAAGATATGCAAGGCAGGCAAAGCAGTGTAACCTCATCCCGAAGAGAAGGATGCGCTCGCAGAGCGCAGGAATTACCCCGCATCTTCCCAGAGCCTGGCAGCAAAGCCCGTTGATTTCACTGACGCATTCTGCATGCCGATCCTCACCTTGTTGACTCTCTGTCATGGCGTTGTTGGTACAAGTAATTGATTACGTGCCATAGATCTGTCCAGATATCTGCTTGACGGCTGTCCTCTGGCTTCTTCCCGTGCTTTCTGCGCTGTCAGTATCGTACTCTGTCGGTTGCAGCCTTCAGTCCGTCCATCGATGAGCCATTCAATCAGACAGTGCCACCGCGAGCATTCGGCGCACTCGCCTTTTTTACGCTACTGGATGCAGTAACTTCCTCGCGCGCTGTAGGTATGTTCAGGTCTCTACTTGTTAGCTGTCCGCCTGGCGTCCTACCCGCGTTTTTGGGGGTTGCGGCTTTCAGCACGTCGTATGGAGAGCCCGTCAATCTGGGGCTCTAGCCCGCAAGCTCGTTTTTCTCACACTTACGTTACGCTTCGTGCATTCCGTGTTGTGCACTGCGACAGGCTGACAATGAGCCTCATATGGGTCATGAATCCAAGGTCTCCCCCTCCTCCTGCTCCACCTCCACATCCCCCTCCTCCTACACCTCCATGCTCCCGTCATCCTCACCCTCCTCCGCTTCCTCCTCCTTCTCCTCCTCCTCCTTCTCCTCCTTCCACTCCTCCTCCTCCTCGTCCTCCTCCTCCTCCGCCTCCTCCTTTTCTGCGTCCTCCCTCTCCTCCTCCTCCTCCTCCTCCTCCTCCTCCGCTCCTCCTCCTCCCCTCCCTCCTCCTCCCTCCTCCTCCTCCTCCTCCTCCTCATCCTCATCATCCTCCTCCTCCTCCTCCTCCTCCCACTCCTTCTTCTCCTCCACCAACTTCTCGTCATCACCCTCATCCGCCTCCTCTGCCTCGTCCTCCTCCCCTCTACAATTAAATTATAGGAACACTACTGCACCTCCTCCATGGAAGGTGTGCGGAAGCTCACGCCCCCTCCACGAGCTGCTTTTCACACCGGAGTTCAAAGGCTGTTTCCTTACGGCGTTTTACAATCCGATCGTTGCAGCGTGGGCCTCAGTTTCGGATCGGCGCTGTGCTCCCGCCGTTCAGAATAGCGATCTCGCCCCAGCGCGGGCCGCTTTCCTGGATCCGAGTCTTTCTTCATCGTTGCCGCCCCCCTCATTTCCTCTCCTCCGCCTTCCCCCGGCTTTTCCTCCCTATCCTTCCGCTTTAGTTCCCGCTGCTGCTTTTCGTCCTCATCCGTCTCCTCCCGCTCATCCTCCTGCTCGCCCGCCACCTCCTCCTCCTCCTCATCCTCCTGTGCACGCAGCTCCCATTTTTCCGATTGCGCGTAACACGAAGTGGTCTTTCTGTGGGAGTCGCAGATCGGTCTTTCTGTGTGAGTTGCAGATCAGCTGTGACACGCGTCCGCGGGCAATGAAAACTCAGTGCCATGGGAAGGGATGGGAGGGAGGGATAGGATGTCCGATGAGGCGCGAGCACACCTGGCTTGCCCTCCCCCCCTCCCCCTCCAAACCTCCAGACCTCCTCCCCAGCCCTGGGCCGCATGGCGACGCGCGCCCCCCCGAAAAGGCGGAGCTCCTGGCGTCCGAGGAGCGCCCCCACCACCAGACCTGAGCGCCCGCGACTCTTATCTCCGTGGAAGGCCACATGCGAACCCTACCCCTACCCCCCACGATTTCTGAGGGGCACTTCGTTTGGGAGCTCCCGAACGAAGTGAACCCCACCCTCCCCCTCAGAAATCGTGGGGGGTAGGGGTAGGGTTCGCATGTGGCCCCCTACTCCGCGCCAGCGCGGCTGGCCGGGGGAAGCACGGCGTGCACTCCGCGCGGCCAGCACGGGCTGCCCGCGGGGCCGTGCCTGCATCCCCCCTCTCGCGGAGGCCCGGCGCGACGGATCACTGCGTCTCCTCCTCCTCCTCCTCCTCCTCCTCCCCTCCTCCTCCTCCTCCTCCTCCTCCTCCTCCTCCTCCTCCTCTCCTCCTCCTCCTCCTCCTCCTCCTCCTCCTCCTCCTCCTCCCTTGACTGCTGGGTCCTGGCAAGGCGTGCGCCCGTCGTTCGGTCTCGCGCCCTCGCCCGAGAGCGAGCCAAAACGCCGGATCCGACGTGTTCCTCGCCGTTGCCGACGATGCGATTCCCTGAGCAGCCTGTCTCCCACGGTACGATTCCCTGAGCAACTCGTCTCGGGCGGCGTCTCCGACGACACGGCGTCCGACGACATGGTCCATCGGTGGCACGTGTGGCTCCTGAGAGCCTGGTGGGTGGACTGCCGCATCGGGAATCCAGGGGGCGGCGCTGCGACTCCCGTGGCCTCCCGCTGCCCCTCGTGCGCTCCCTGTCCCTCCTCCTCCTCCTCCTCCTCCTCCTGCCTCCTCCTCCTCCGCCTCCTCCTCCTCCTCCTCCTCCTCCTCCTCCTCCTCCTCCTCCTCCTCCTCCTCCTCCTCCTCCTCCCTCCCCCCTCCACCTCCACCTTCCTCATCCTCCTCCGTCTCCTCCTCCTCCTCCTCCTCCTCCTCCTCCTCCTCCTCCTCCTCTCCTCCTCCTCCTCCTCCTCCTCCTCCTCCTCCTCCTCCCTCCTCCTCCTCCTCCTCCTCCTCCTCCTCCCTCATCCTCCTCCTCCTCCTCCTCCTCCTCCTCCTCCTCCTCCTCCTCCCTCCTCCTCCTCCTCCTCCTCATCCTCTCCTCCTCCTCCTCCTCCTCCTCCTCCTCCTCCTCCTCCTCCTCCTCCTCCTCTCCTCCTCCTCCTCCTCCCCTCCTCCTCCTCCTCCTCCTCCTCCTCCTCCTCCTCCTCCTCCTCCTCCTTCCTCCTCCTCCTCCTCCTCCTCCTCCTCCTCCTCCTCCTCCTCCTACCCTCCTCCTCCACCACCTCCACCTCCAACCTCCACCTCCACCTCCTCCTCCCCTCCTCCTCCCTCCTCCGCCTCCTCCTCCTCCTCCTCCTCCTCCTCCTCCTCCTCCTCCTTCCTCCTCCTCCTCCTCCTCCTCCTCCTCCTCCTCCTCCTCTCCTCCTCCTCCTCCTCCTCCTCCTCCTCCTCCTCCCCCTCCACCTCCACCTCCACCTCCTCATCCTCCTCCGTCTCCTCCTCCTCCTCCTCCTCCCTCCTCCTCCTCCTCCTCCTCCTCCTCCTCCTCCTCCTCCTCTCCTCCTCCTCCTCCTCCTCCTCCTCCTCCTCCTGCCCCCCCTCCTCCTCCTTCTCCTCCTCCTCCTCCGTCTCCTCCTGTCCCTATCCTTACTTTCATCCCTATCCCTATCCTACATTGCTGTTCCGTATTAATAAGCATCCCTCCCTCACCCGACCGGCAGCGAACCGGGACCCATGAAGGCATCCATGCGGGCACCCCCCCCTCACCATCCTGGTCGGAAAAACATGCAGCATCCCACCAGCCCTTTAGGCAAACGGGTCTAACGATGCCTTTCCATCCTCTTCCAAGACCCTCTTAACCCCAGGGATTGGTACCCTCTCCCTCCCCTCCCTAAGGTTTTTTGGCGGAGGCCGCGATGTGTCAGAGGGTCCCTTTTCGCCCAAGATCGCTGCAAGAGGGCCTCCGATGCTCCAAAATGGCCTCCAAGGCGGCTAAAGGCAGCAGGAGCTGGTTCAATATAACTTCCGACAGACCTCCAAGAGGCCTGACGAGGGTCACAAGACAATTCCAAATGCACTTGGCACCCCCATCAAGACCCCCCCACGAGGCAAAAACGCAAAAACCTGTCAAAAACCGTGGGAAAATAAGTGATTGTTGCCTTCTCGCCTTTTCGCTTCCCATGCACTTTTGGGCCTCAAGATTGCCCCAAAATGGCCCAAGAGAGACCCAAGAGGGGCCCAAGAGGCCCCCCAGACGGTCCCAAGAGGCGCCCAAGAGCGCCCCAAGAGCGCCCCAAGGGCGTCCCACCCAAGAGGCGATTTGGATGGCCCCAAAAGGGGGAGGCAAATCGAGGACCCCCCCTCCTTTGACCTTAGAGGGCCCACAAGAGAGCCCCAAGAGAGCCCCAACGGGTCCCAAGACAACCCCAAGAGCACCCAAGAACGCCCCAAGAGCGTCCATCTTCCTCCTCCTCCTCCTCCTCCTCCTCCTCCTCTTCCTCCTCTTCCTCCTCATCATCAGCATCATCATCAGCAGCAGCATCATCATCATCGTCATCATCATCATCATCATCAGCAGCAGCATCATCATTGTGTGCCTTCTCCATATGTTTCCTCTCACCGTCCTCCCCTTGGCGGCTCTACGATATGCCAACATGCAATGTTTGCAGGCTAGTTTCCCGAACGGGTGCCCGCCGTGGTTTCGGCTTTGCGGGCTGAAAAGAAATAGAGAGCACAAAAGAGATCACAAGCACCAAGCCTCTAGGGTATCGCGCGCTTCTCTCTGCCACGCTCCAAATGAAATACCTCGCGGCGTCGCAGCGAAGCCGATGCAAATCCATCGCGGGTGGACGCGGCAACGATTACTAATGTGACAAGTCAGCAACACACCCGAAGATTGAAGAACACAATGTTTGGGGTCGCAGCGCTGGCGGTCACTCAGAGCGGTCGAAGCGGCAAGCCGGGAGGCGGAAACGCCAATTGAGCACGGGGGCACGCTTGACGAACACACGCCACTGCCAAACCACCAATTCTGAATGTACTGTGGTGGGGGTGGCGGATAAAGGACCATTGAATCAGAAATCCGGGGCCTGGAGGCCGGTGGAACTCCACTCGTGGGCTGGTCGTGGATACAGCCGCCACTTGCATCACACACAGAATCCTCCAGGGTCTGAAGCCTTCCGGGCACATTCCTTACAGAACTCCCCCACCGTAGCAGACACCCGCGTCGTTTGAAGCCACATACACGCAAACGCACACACACACACACACACACACACACACACACACACACACACGCACGCACGCACGCACGCACGCACGCACGCACGCACGCACACGCACACACGCACACACGTACCACACACACACACACACACACACACACACGCACACATACACACACACACACTCACACTCACACACACACACACACACACACACAACGCACACGGCGTCGGATCACCAACCCCCAGTGCAAGCGGAACATACAAATAATGGCATGCGCTGAGAAGTAGTGTGCATGAGCTCGAAAGAAAACCTTCGAGGCTTCTGTACTGCACCTGGGCCGATCGCCGCTTGCAGGACGCCACACTGGTATAGCACACCAACCCGTATGACGGTTTCTGAAAACCCTGGATCCAAAAAAACGGCATCTCTTTGGAAGGCTACCTTTGCTTCCGTCGCCTTCCGCCGAGATTCCGCCGGCTCCCGCCGGCGGGGATACCCTCGATGTACTTCCGCCGCTGTCCGCTGGCCTTCCGCTGCCCCCCGCCGAGGAAGAGATGCCAACTCCTTCGACCCCTCGAAGGCGAAGCGCTCCCTGGAGCGCCTCATACGAAACGACTCTGCATCACTCGGCGGCGAACCCAGCCAGGGGGGAAGTGAGAGGGGGCATGCCTTCTCAAAAGGCGGCGGGGCTTCTCGGAAGCCCTCGCGCTCTCTGAGAAGCCGCCTGCGGCTTCCGAGAAGGCTGACAGCGCTTCTCCGAAGGCGCGAAGGCTTCTGAGAATCTCCGCCGCCTTCTGAGAAGGCCTGCCCCATCTCACGTCCCCCTGGGCTCGCCGCCGAATCACAGAGTCCGAGTTGCGAGCGGAGCGCGCCGCTTCAGCCCAGCACGCGCACGTTCGCGCGCGCGCGAGGCTCTCGCGGCTGCCGAGCGCGAGACTCCGACGCGCGCCTTGCCCCACAGCGTCACGACCCGCATCTCGAGAGGGTGCCTGATGGTGTCAGAGACATGCTCGGAAGGGGCGGTCCCGAAGCCGGAATGCGGTCGGGAACTTTTGCGCTTGGCGTGTCGCGGCGGCGGCCCCGGCGGCACGCTGTGCCGTGCGCGAGGACACCGTGTCGCTCCGCTCCGCGGGGCAGGAGACTGGGAAAGGCTCGGGGCGTGGACACCTGGGTGCAGGGACCGTGGCTATCGTGTCGCGCCGAAGCGCGGTGGACAAGAACCAGCGGCACGACACACTCGGCAGAAGTCCCTGACCGTAGCAGATGGCGCGGCAGGAGTGTAGATCACGCTGCTGGCAGCAGCGGGGAGCGCGAATCGGTGCCCTGGCACGATCGAAGCATGCGACAACTTATAAACCTGGGGACGAGAGGCGGGGAGGAGAGGAAGGGTCAGCAGCAGGAGGAAACAAGCAGCCTGGCGAAGGAACCAACCCTATGCAGCTGCGAGCGACGCAGGATATGATGTTCTTCTCACACGTAGCGCGCCGCGATAGGGATGTAGCTCGGGGCAGTGCGGATGGGGGGCGGCGGACCAGGCGCGCAGAGGCGAGCTGAGCTCCCTACGGTGGGCGACCCAACTGAGAGGCGAGCTAAGCTTCGGGCAGGCCACAAAACGTGTGAGGGGTGTGCCGAAATTGGCGCGGTGCCGCCACGCGGGTCCTGTCACCGGGGCCTTCGGTGGAGCTCCCTGTGAGTCATCATGCAGGCTGTGCCACTATGCCCGTGTGCGGAGCTCCCTCAGGGACGCAGAACGTACTAGTTGTACGACGAGATCAGAAGCAGGGGTACGCGCGCAAACTTTCGCACTGGGGACGCAAGTGGAGCGCCCTAAGGGCACGAAACGCGTGAGGGATGCCTCGACATGGGCGGGGGTTACGCATGCGGACTCTCCCCCTGGGGCCGCAGGTGGAGCTCTCTACTGTAAGTGGCACGCAAGGTGTGAGGAGCGTGCCGAAATGGGAGGCATGAAAACTTTCCCACTGGGGCCGCAAGTGAAGCTCCCTATGGGGCCACGATCCTCCGAAACGGGCGAGGATACTGCATGCGGACTTCACACTGGTGCAGTAGGTGGAGTCTTTATGGGGGCACGATCCTCGTGAGGTGTATGCCGAATTGGGCACGAGTACGCCATGCGGACTTTCACACTGGGGCCGTCGGTGGAGTCTCTATGGGGGCACGATCCTCTTGAGGGGTATGCTGAAATGGGCGCGAGTCCGCCAGGAGGACTTTCCCACCGGGGCCGCAGGTGGAGCTCCCCTTGGCCACACAAAACGTGTGAGGGGTGTGCCGACATGGGAGGAGGAAGAGGAGGAGGAGGAGGAGGAGGAGGAGGTAGGTAGGTAGGTAGGTAGGTAGGTAGGTAGGTAGGTAGGTAGGTAGGTAGGACAGCCCCAAGGGGAAGAGTCTCGCAAGACTAAAACGAACTACGCGGCCGCCGAGCGCCCGCGACCGCGGGGACCTGGCTACCACCTGAGGCGTAAACCCACGACTCACCAACAATGTTGGAGTACACCCTCCCTCCAAGCTCCCTCTTCATTGGCCCCTACGAGGGTGCATTTCCACTGAGGGAAGTGCCCCTTTGGGGGAGAACAGTGTGAAAATCCTGACGCGTTCCAGAGCACCATTCTCAGGCATTCAACGCCACGAATCAACCTCATTGTTGGGTGGTGACGATCCCCTGAATCGTGCCAGAGCACCCTTCCTGGAACTTCAAATCCGCGAAACAACGTAACTGCTGCGCCCTGACAATCCTGAGTCGATCCGAAACACCATTTCTGTTAGGTTAACCATCAGACAAAGGAATGGAGGATAGGCGGGCGCTGCGGAATCCAAGCCAAGACCCAACTCCACATACTGGTTCTGTGCTTCCGATCCCGCCACGCACACTCGCCCTCAAGGCGTGTCCAAGGACCCCTGGTACTTCGCATAGCGGGTGGGGAGCGGGCCAGGGCGCCCAGCAACCGAGCCAGTGTGCATATGTGTGGTCGGCATCTAGACGAAGCACATGCCGTCTTGATTGTGGTACGCGTCCCCGTTCCCTTCCTCCTCGAGTGGGAATGGTGAGCCGCGCCCGACGTGTAGGAGAAGGAGGTCCATCCTCAATCCTGCATCCGCCATCCCTCCTCCCTCCTTCCCCCATTCCTCCCTCCCTCCGCCAGCCTCCATCCGTCATCCCTCCTCCCTTCCTTCCTCCAGCCTCCAGCCTCCATACTCCCTCCATCCTCCAGCCTCCATCCTTCCTTCCTCCAGCCTCTACCCTCCATCCTCCCTTCTTCCATCCTCCAGACTCCATCCTCCCTTCACCCATCCTCCATCCTCCATCCGACATCCCTCCTTCCTCCCTTCCCCCTCCGGTGCGAGCGGGAGGTCGCGCCCGAAGTCCAAGCAGGAGCGGTAGCGCGGCTGTGCGATGAAACCGGGGACCAGCGACCGGAGCGCCTGGCAAGGGCGAGGGTAGTTTACCCAGAGGCCTGGCCCTCCTCGTCCACCTTCTCGTCTCGACCTCCTCCCCCTCCCTCCCCATCCCTCCCTCATCCTCCGGCTTCTCCTGCCTCGGCCTCCTCCTCGTCCTGCTCCTCCTCCTCCTCCTCCTCCTCCTCCTCCTCCTCCTCCTCATCATCATCATCATCATCATCATCATCATCATCATCATCATCATCATCATCATCATCATCATCAGCAGCACCAGCATCAGCACCAGCATCATCAGCATCAGCATCAGCAGCAGTATCAGCATCAGCACATCATCATCATCATCATCATCATCATCATCATCATCATCATCATCATCATCATCATCATCATCATCATCATCAACCTCATCATCATCATCATCATCATCATCATCATCATCATCATCATCATCATCATCATCAGCATCATCAGCAGCAGCAGCAACAGCATCATATGCATCAGCATCAGCATCATCATCAGCATCATCATCATCATCATCATCATCATCATCAGCATCATCATCATAATCATAATCATAATCATCATCAGCAGCAGCATCATCAGCAGCATCAGCATCAGCATCAGCACCATCATCAGCATCATCATCATCCTCGCCATCATCATCATCATCATCATCATCATCATCATCATCATCATCATCATCATCATCAATATGATTACTGTCTACCATCATCATCAGCTTCATCACCATCACCAGCATCATCATCATCAGCATCAGCATCATCATCGTCGTCGTTATAGTGATCACCATCATCATCAGCAGCATCATCAGAATCCTCATCATCGGCAAAGCATTCGTGATACTCAGCAGCATCATCATCAGCATCCTCATGATCTGCATCAGCATCAGCATCATCATCAGCAGCAGCATCAGCATCATAAGCAGCAACAGCATCATCGGCAACATAATCATCGGCATCCTCAGCATCATTATCAGTATGATCACCATGATCATGATCCTCAACCTCATCATCATCATCCTCATCCTCATTATCAACATCATCAGCAGCATCATCATCATCAGCATCATCACCATCACCAGCATCATCATCGTCATCGTCAGCGTCATCGTCGTCATCATCATCAAAATCAGCATCATCAGCATCATCATCACTATCATCACCAGCATCACAAGCATCATCGTCACCACCACCGCCATCACCATCATCATCATCATCAGCATGATCATCATCATACTCAGCATCACCATTATCATCAGCATCTTCATCAGCATCGTTGTCATCATCAGCAGCAGCAACATCGCCATCATCAGCAGCATCACCATCAGCATCGTCATAAGAATCATAATAATAGTCATCATCATCAGCATCATCATCATCATCATCAGCATCAGCATCAGCATCATCAGCATCATCAGCATCATCAGCATCATCAGCGACATCAGTATCATCATCATCCTCCTCATCCTCCTCATCATCGTCGTCATCATCCTCATCATCAGCAGCAGCGTCATCATCATCATCATCATCATCATCATCATCATCATCATCATCATCATCATCATCATCATCGCCGCCGCCGCCGCCGCCGCCGCCGCCGCTGTCGTCGTCATCATCAGCATCATCATCACCAGCACCACAACCACCACCACCGTCAGAATCATCTATATACAAAATCTGCAGCATCAGCATCTGGATCCGATGGCCGCGGGCATAAATGATCGACGTCGGCGCTGTTCACAGAGGCGGGAGCGGTTCATGCGAGGGTTTGGGGCCACTCCAGGATCCCGAATCTAGCCGAAACCAGCTGGCTTCACGCCGACCGCCGCATCTTTAATAAGCTTACATCGGCCGAAACGTTGGCCAGCGCCCATATGCATCATCAACATGGTCATGAACGGGGGCCGCAGCCCCGCGCCCCTCCCCCATCCCTCTCCCATCCTTCACCCATCCCGCCAATCCTTCCCCCATCCATCCCTC